TTCGCCGAATGGGGAACAACACACTTAGATTGAGGGGCAGGGGTATAGTATTAATACTTTTTTTTTGTTTTTGGAAAGAATATTGCTGCCCGCTAATGTTGCTGACAGGCCAGCCGTAGCAGCTATTAGTAGTAGACGATTACTCGAACGCATCGATCGCGCTGTGTCAAATTGGAATTCACATTGTACTTTTGGTAATGAAAGCTAGTATAAAGAGAAAAAATTAAAATAATTTTGTAATTTTGTATAGTAGTGAAGAGTGACAAAGTACATTTTAGCATGTGTGTTGAATAAATCGTGTGGTTTGCTATTTACAAGTAATTTGTGATTTTATACAAGAATAAAAAACAACAGATCTGGATATTATTTGTATGAGGTAAACATATACACTGCAACCGGAACACATACATTCAAGTGAAATTAAAAAACACGACTTCATATACACAAAATCACGCTGCAGTGAATATACATTTTTTTTTGTAAATTTATAGATATACATATATTTACATTTGCTTGTTGGACATGCGACCTATGAATGAGGCTTTTAGTTTGTTGTTATTTGTTTGATAGCGCAACTCATTATCAATAAGGTCTGCACACAAAAAGATACCCATTTATACATACATGTATCTATTAAATAAAAATGTATATACCTATGTACAATATATGTAAAAATGTACAAAGTTTAATGTGTGCCATAAGAGCATTGCAAACAGCTGGAATTTCATATGAAATTTGAGCAATCCATGTCAAAAAGCTATTAAACTCGTCACTAACTGACGAGCAATATATAAAACAAGAAAAAACGTTGACTTCAGTTACACCGAAGTTATAATACTCCACACAAATAAAACAGTGTTCCATAAATATGATTTTGATCATACAGTTGGTATGGCAGCTATATGGTATAGTGGTCTGATCGATAAAAAAAAATCGACGGCAACGTCACGCCTTGGATAACAATTCGTGCCAAATATCGCGAGGATATTTCGACAAATAAATAAGTTTTCGATACAAGAACTTGATTTTTATCGGTTAGTTCATATGCACACATGCTATAGTGGTCCGATCTGAACAATTTCTTCGGAAATTGTACCGTGGACTTATAAGCAATAATACATGCTGAATTTCGTGAAGATAGCTTCTCATATAAAATTGTTTTCCATACAATAACATGATTTTGATCGCTCAGTTTGTATGACAGGTATATGCTATAGTGGCTCTATATCGGCGGTACAATGTTTCAAATTGATATCTCACACGCTGAACCACTAGTTCACAAAATTCACTCAACTCGGCAAACTGATCATTTATATATGTATGTATATATATGTGTATATCTCTATATTATAGGGTTTCGGACGTTTCCTTCTGCGTGTTACAAACTTGTTCAGGTTATAATTAATGCTGCTCATAAAGTGTATAGGATATAAAATTTTTTTATTATATTTCACGCTTTTAGCGATTTGTATAAATATGTAGTATATAAGAACACTTGTTTATACAAATATGTTCTTTATTTCGAAAAACTTTGTTGAAATTTATCAATTTTATTTATCCAGTGAAATATCCATATACATATGTATATACATATGTACTTTGGTGATATCACAAAACTTGAAAACAAAATTGTTAATGTGGCCATATAATTTGGCGAACTGTGTGTGGTTAGTTATGGCGATTATACAAAAATACAATTTGAAATTACGGACATAAAAAGTAATTTTCTCACGCCGTTCCCACGACAGTCGCGTCTAAGTAACCGAAACGGACCCAGATTTTTATTCGACCAAGGAGTGTCAACTTGCCACCAGTCCTCGATATTACTTCAGGGAAATAATTTATATATAAATATATTTCAAAACGTTTTTTTATGAAAGTACAAATACATTTTATATGAAAGTACATGTAATATATTTCTAAGTATTTACATAAGTGAGGAATGAAAAACAAAACTCGCACAGCAACAATGCCGGATACAAATCAAGAAATACTCGCAAATAGAAAAGATAAATAAATTGCTGCGTGTGATTTCTAAAATAAATTATCTTGTTTAAGTGCTAAAATTTTCGCACGAAATATGCAAAATCAGAAACTAGGCTAATATTTATGTAACTATTAAGATAAGAATGTTATAATACCAATACATGGTAAACAAATAACTTGGTAGGCCAGATGTTATAGATGCGAGATAGCATATCACCTATGTATGTATGTACGCACACATTAAAGATTAGATTAAACAAGTAAGGAAGGGCTAAGTTCGGATGTAACCGAACATTTTATACTCTCGCAAAGTCAAATAGTATACTCGTTTGAGATTTCTTTGTGGATTGACTGATATTTTCGGAAGAAGGTCAACTATAGGCACTGGCACTTATATATAACCCTATATCTAACTCGATTAGTTTTAGGTGATACAAACAACCGTTAGGTGAACAAAACTATTATACTCTGTAGCAACAGGTTGCGAGAGCATAAAAATATATATGAATATACCCTCACAAATGACTTCAAGTCACCAGGAGAAGGTTCCAATGCCTTCAATTATAAAAAGAAACAAAATTACTGATGAACCACTGAGTTGTAGAGGCAGAAAATATTCCGTAAATAATCCTGAGTTCTTACAAGAAATCCAAAGGTGAAACAATGTACTATCTGCTTTCCTTCATATTATTCATAATTTAGCGTGCAAATAGGTTAATTACATTTTTTTTCCATACCGAAAAGTTGCGATTCATGAAAACTTATGTGTACGTATTGATAAGAGACATTAAAAATGACCGGGCATTTAAATGAAATGATTATGGAAATTTTTCAAAGGTATTTTTAATTATTTGCAGTATATTAACGCACACACTTACATTAAAGTGTTAAAAAAACTTTAAAAAAAAAAGATATAAATGTTATTAAATGCATATTTCATTGTTTTGAAATTTGAAGCTCTAAAATAATAACAAGTTTTCACACTACAAGTGTAAGATCAATAAAATGTCACGAATGTGGTTGGCATTAATTGTTGATTGTTTATATTTGGCAAAGTGCTTCACATACGTACATGTTGAACACTTAGCAACTTTAATTATGTTGATAAATACCGACATACATTTCTTCATCACTTTATTTGCGCGATTTCAAACCATTTAACGTTTTCGAAATTCGGCACTTTAGAGATTAACTCGCGATGAATGCAATCACCAAAACACATTTGCTTAAATTTGTATATTTGGACATACTAGCGCCACACACTTTTAGGCAGAAGAGCCACAATTGTTATCACGTACAAGTGTACATTATATAATATATATGTTTCACTCACTCATAAACAATTTTATGCTGATTATTGACCTGCTCACTGTCATTCATTTCCGTCTTATCAGTATAAAAACAAAACAAAAATATTAACAATCACATTTTCTTTCTACAAGGATTATAAACTCATGATAAAGAGTCACACGCCACACGGCCAATATAATATAATATACATACATATGTCAAAATAAAGTCCAATATTTTTATACATACTTACATAAACAAACTAGTTTCATATATTATGTGTAATAACGTTTGGTAATAGAAAAAATGGGCCTGTCTCAGGTTAAAGCTGGTAGAGTTCCAAGACACTTGAATCTCTTGTAATTTTGCTCTAAATAGTCATGCACACCACACATGTGTAGGAAAACAATTATAGAAATGGGATGACTTTGAATTTTGATTTGAGATTTTAAAATCTTATGACAAATGCAACAAAACATGTGCAAATATAATGGAAATAGCAATAATAAAAATTATATAGTATGCAAAATTCTTGTACTCGTATATATAAAATATTTCTGCTTTCAACTGAGTTGACAATATTAAACATTAACTATCTAAAAATAAATTAAAAGTTTATGGAAACTATTATACCAAGAATTTTAGTTTTCCATACATATATACACAGTTTTGTATGTTATTGCATATTTCATAGCAGATGCTTGTAGATCTAATTTTACGTGTATTTTGTGCTGAGAATTGTCCAAAAATATAATTTTAAACTTTTGCGTGCAAGATGATAGCTTTATAACTATATTTGACCTTCAATTAACCTAGAACTTACCGATCCAAACAGGGTTAGATCGCCAAAATAACAGCCCTTGGCCGGATAAAATCCGGGTCAATTCCGGTAACGTAGAACCGGCTGTTGTGGGAATTGCCAGTGTGACACTCGCGCAACTTCGTTCTGGATATTGTAGCAGGATAAACTTCTACTTATCCAGAATAGACCCCGCATGACACTAACCACCTCTTTGCATGCCCAGCAAACCCCACTCATCTAACAACCTTTTCCCTATGGTGGGAATTTATCACCCAAACGGGGACTAGGTAACCGTTACAACAACAACAACACCTTAGCAATAATAATGCAGCGTTGATTAACACTAAATGGATAATATTTGATTTGATACCCGGAAGCGGCGGTAAGACAATGTTTCTCGTTGAATATAAGAACTTGAATCGATCGGTCAAATTGTATGGCAAGTAAATGAAAGCTTTAATAATTTCTTCAAATGTTGTGGCGTTGCTTTGGACATCCATATGCTATAGTGGCCCGATATCGGCGGTTCCGACAAATGAAAAGCAAAAACAGGCATGGCTAAAGCGACTCAGCTCGTCACGTAGATCATTTATATATAAACTATATAATAAACTGGTGTCAGACGTTTTCTTCTGGGTAATACAAATTTCGTTTCTAATTTAATATACCTTGTTCAGGATATAAAAATAGCACACAAAAACGGACTTTGCATAGCGTACGAAAACATATATTTTCCTGTAGTTGCGGGGAAAACAAAACCTATCCAGATTTAAGCCAAGCACCAAAGCGCCAAATTGCTATTATATATGTATATATATGAATACAGCACGTTGCATCACTGATTTCGCTGCAACTGAGTGTTGAATAGAAGTACATTTGTATGACACAAATATCAAGCGACACATTTATTTAAGTAACTTACTTGAACTTAGAGGGGACCAATCACCTAGCCGGCACTTCCAAGCTGGTCTTTCTATCGTTATCAATGGAAAAGTAACAACAGAACTTCCAAGTTAAAACACTAAAAGTGTCTACAAAATATTTGTATCTGTTCACTTAAAAAACTACTAAATTATATTTTGAAATAAAAAAAAATTTATAGAAGGAATTAAAAGCCCAGTTAGAAATAGAAAAATCACAAATAACAATAAGAATTGTTGCCAAAAGCCTAAGAATTAAAGTTTATGATTGTTGTGTGATGGATTTCTACTAAACGATTGATTAGAGTTCAAAATTTAATTTATTTTTACTTTCGATAAACTATAAATTTCGTTTATTTTTGTTTCTTACATCTTTAAATAGTAAATTTTCTTTTTTTTTTTGTACCAAAATCTATTTAATCATTCCAAATAAAATAAATAATAATTGTTGTAGCACACTTTAGAAATTATTTATCTAGCGCTGGCAACACGGAGATAGTTTACAAAGTCCCGCAGAACAAAACGTCAAAAGCAGCTGATTTACAGCGTGGCACAGATGCTACAAAATGTTTTGACAAACAATAAAATTTCCTCTAAGTGAAAACTCTTAAAATACTAAATTAACTGCATAAAATATAAATTATTAATGAAAATCGCATGTAAACGCCTTGCCTAAGTTTAATAACAATTTAAATGTATTGAAAATCACTATTGAGTTGTTTTAATGTATTAGTAATCGGTCCAGATTATTCGGTACATGCTACTGTTTACAAATTTACAGCACCAGCAACAACATTGGCAATGAGAAATACACAGTCATCATTTTCGTGAGATTAGACTAGGCATTCCAGTTAATTGTGATATACGATGGAGCAATTCGGTGCAAATATGACACATTTATAAGATAAAATCTGCCGAGCATGGGCGCTACAACAAAATACTCAACTAAAGTACAACATTTCTTTGGCTTATAAGAGGTATGAAAAGGAAATGAGCTAAAACGGAAGTGTAGGTTGTAGTTTTGTGTATGGATGCACGAATCAAGGTCACCGCTACAGGTGCTACTTAGTTTCGTATTTAAAAATTTAAAAGAAAAATTTGATCGTTTCAATGATTATTATTTCTTTAATGTAATTTCAGATTCTAAAAGCATCCAACCCACCCGCATTCTGTCCAGCAGCCCTATATTTACACATACCATAACTATTTTAGATAAACATGTCCAGTACAAAGACACAACGTCAAGGTCGTTGGTATTTCGGTGGTATTGCCAGTGCTGGTGCCGCTTGCTGTACACATCCGTTGGACTTGATAAAGGTGACGCTGCAAACACAGCAGGGCAAATTGTCTGTGTTACAGCTAACCGTTAAAGTTGTGCGGGAGCAAGGTAAGTCAAATAGTACAAATGTGTTGCATCGTATTAAAAATATTCAAAAAGATATAATTAAAATATATATTTAATAAATAATTGCAGGTGTTTTGGCACTCTACAATGGCTTGTCTGCTTCCGTCCTTCGTCAAATGACGTACTCAATGACGCGTTTCGGTATTTATGAATCAGGGAAGCAACAAATCAATACCGATACATTCCTCGGCAAAATCACTCTAGCAGGTTTGGCCGGCACTGCTGGTGGTATTGTTGGCACACCCGCTGACATGGTGAATGTACGTATGCAAAACGATGTCAAATTGCTGCCAGAACAGCGCAGAAAGTGAGTTAATATTTTTATGTTAAATAAAAGTTCGTGAACGGCCGAAAATTAAAAATAAACGGACGGAAACAGACTTAAACACATACATTTTTAATTTGTTAAATTATTAATAATTTTCCACTTAATTTTATATAATTAACAATATTAGATCAAAAAAATTAATTAAACAAAATCAACCACATGCATTTTGCGGTTATATAAAAAATTAATTACAATTTAAAAAAATATGTGTTTAGGGCTGATTTGTAATACAGATTAATCGCCTAAAATCCTGTTCATGTAAGGGAAACTTTTTCACATGAAAATAGTTCTTTACGAAATTTGGCATAGATTATTATCTAAAAAATCGTTACAATCTCCGAAGAAACTTGTAACTCGAACAACTATAGCATATAGCTGCCATACAACTGACCGATCAAACTCAAGTCGTTATATGGAAAAGAGTTTTATTTCACAAGATGGATTATTGTCGATGATTGACCGATACCTACAACCTCCAAAAAAATTGTTCAGTTCGTAACACTTTAGCATATATGTACATATGTATCAAAATTCTCGTTTTTTCTAGTTTTTTATTAAAAATTATTAATTAGAAAAAATTAATTACTATTTAAAAAAGTATAGGTTTAGGCCTATTTCCGGCTGTTATGTTTTTTCGAAATCGAAAAATTTTGTCGGAAGTTAAAGTGGAGGCAAAAAACAAATCTAATCGAATTTATATACACAAAATTTAATTTACTGAATTTGCTCCTTTTTATGGATTCATTTTATTTCACATTATTAATTCCTATTCTTACCAATTTCAGCTACAAAAACGCGATCGATGGTTTAATCAAAGTATATCGCCATGAAGGATTCACACGGCTATTTTCGGGCGCTACCACTGCCACGGGCAGAGGAGTTCTTATGACAATTGGTCAAATAGCATTCTACGATCAAGTAAGCTTTTCCTGATATTATTTTAAACTAAAATATATAATTACTTATACAAAACCGCTGCCTGGCACAGATCAAAGCAATGCTGCTCACCACACCCTACTTCAAGGATAATTTGGCAACACATTTCAGTGCCTCATTGGCTGCTGGCGCTATTGCAACCACTTTGACACAGCCACTGGATGTGCTAAAGACACGTTCCATGAACGCTAAACCTGGCGAATTCAAGGGCTTATGGGATATTGTCAAGTTCACAGCGCGTTTGGGCCCGCTCGGCTTCTTCAAGGGTTACATACCGGCATTTGTACGCCTGGGTCCACACACAATTATCACGTTTGTTTTCTTGGAACAATTGCGTTTAAACTTTGGCATTTTGCCAAAAGTAGAGGCTTCTGTCGTGGCTGCACAATAAACACAGGAAATACATAGACGCGCACACACACACGCACATACTATGTGCATGCACACATCACATTGCTGCTAAACACAAGCTGAGAGCTACTCGACAAATGTATAGAACAAAAATTAAACTATAAATGCACTACAAGCAACTATTACTATTTATATACAATATACATGTGTACATTTGTATGTATGTTTCTAGTACACAATATTTTACCTTGGACAAAATGCAATAAGTGTCAGTCAGTTGATGGTCAATGAGTTTGATATATAAGGTATATAAGTATAAATAATAGTAATTTTGCATTTAGAATGCATTGTGCTTAATTGAATACCTAAGCGAAAATTTTAGAAACATTTACAGCCGCACAGCAATGGCACTAAGCATAATTATATTGAAAGTCACAAGAGTTATATACATATTTGCTAACGCAAAGCATTTTTCTTTTTGTAATTTTCCATGCTTTCAAAATATGTATATATATTATAATACGAACTATGAATGTCTAAATGTTTGGTAAATTTTAGTATAAAGTGAATGCTTTCTTGTAAACCAGTTGCGGTTTCAACGCTTATGTGTGCATACAAACATATATAGATACAAATGCAAAGAATTGTTATTATATTTGGAATGCAATATACCGTTATTAAACCTATTTTACCTTTAGAATGATTCGTATTAAATGCAACGGCTAACAGTAACTGACATTCCTAATTCATATAAATACTATTGTATTTGCAAATATGTATATGTATAGGTAATATGTAGATGTATTACTTTTAAGTGCAAAATATTAGCAAACAGAAATTATTTAGCCAATTAGTTAATAAAAATATATGCTTAACCGCACATTAGGCTTTGCCTTTGCGCAAAAATTGTTAATTAAATACGTTCCCATAAAAAAAAATAATAATAATATATTTATTATTAATATTCTCTTTAATAACTTTTTTTTTAATGTAATTTGTTTTATTTTCATTAAATTAATTTTAAGTTAAAAGTAAAACTGCGACTTTAAACGGTAGATGTAAATTGTTATAAATAAAAAACACTAAATTTCATTTTCTTTTTTTGCAATTTCGAACATTAAGCTTGTAAAAAATAAAAGCGTGTAAAATCTTATTGAGCTGAGTTTTAATTAAATTCCTGTAGATATAAATTACTGGAGCTGTTTGCATAAGAAAACCCATTTGATTGGCGGGCACCTGCAGCGATAAACGACAAAATTAGCTATATTGTTTTTTCCTAAGACGTTACATGTTAGCGGAGCGGTGGGTGAATATGTATAGAGTAAATTTTCTTTCTCCTTTTAATGTTCTGAGGGTGTGTAACACCTTACAATACTAAAAACAGAATAACAGTATTTGGGCGCCAATGCCCTGTCTGCATCGTCTCCTTAGCATATGTATGTATGTATAACAGTTTGTTGGCGATGAACAAGTGAATAGTACATATTACTCGCAAGTAATCAAAAATCAGTAACAATTAGACTTTGAATGAATTGTTGAATTCACTTTGAATTTTTTTATCCAAAAGAAGCATGATTCAAAGCTTACTGAAAAGGAGAAGATTTTAAAAACATATTTACTTATAAATCGATAAAATAATTGTGGATTTATATAATCTAGAAATTATCTTAATATATATACATATGCATGTATGAGCAGGGTTACGAATTTTTTATTTCACAAATTTGCATTAAAAATTAAAAATCTAATTTTGAAAACTAATTAAAAACTAAACTAAAAAATTAAATTAATGCGTGGCACCGCCCACTTTTAGGTGAAAACCCATATCTTGAGATCTGCTTAACCGATTTCAACTAAATTCGATGCATAACATTCTCATGTTGCTATTTTATAGTGCGAAAATGGTCGAAATCAGATTACAACCACGCCTATTTCCCCTATAACAAGTTTTTAAATTTCATCTGATTTTTTCACTTGCAAATCAAGCAACAAAACTTTGCGTGAATAATGCGTTTAAAGTAAAATTGTCTAAATCGAACCAAAACTGTTCAAGCCCCTAGGTATTGAGTATGTGGACCCCAGTGCCTTTAGTTGACTTTTTACCGGAATAATCGGTCTATGTGTAAGATATATAATTGAAATTCATATAATAAAATAAATAAATGAATGTTTTTGTGTCATAAATGGGTCAATGCTTCCTTTAATATAAAGTTTTGCCAACACCTGAAGTAAATTCCCGGGCTTTGATCCTTGCAAGTTGCGAGAATATAAAATGTTCGGTTGTTAATCCAGTTTTTCAATCCGGTCCGTTTATTTCTCTAATTTCTTCTAGTAAAATGTCTAAGTAGGTATGAAAACCTTTTTTTTTTTAAGAAATACTGTTATTTTAGTATTAACCTATTATTCTGAGAACTGAAAAACAGCAGGTAGAGTGGATTGATAACTAAGCTGATGATTTAAATATGACCAAGAATTGAATTTTCAAAATTATTTTACATAAACAAATTCTGAAAACGTACTGAAAGCCATCCAACGGTAAGACCCTATATATCTTGGTTTTTTTTCGCAAGTCAATATCTCTATCAAGTCTACTATTAATATCAGTTATAAAATGTGCTTGCATATTTTTAGGCGTTTTGCCGAGTTACTTCCTCTATTATGATATGCTAAGTCTACAATCGCATTTGAACAGTTAAAGGTATTCGAACTTTATCTTACCGAAAATGCACGCAGTCGCATATAATATCCTTCAAAGCTTTTTTTTACAACTTTTCATTATTTATTTTATTTATTTATTTAATATTTTTTGTTTTGTTGTTGGGAATATCAGTGCATATGCTAAATACTAGTTAAATACAAACTGATTACTTTTTAAATTGTTTCACTTAGTTGTAGGTATGTATGTATGTATAATTTTTTTTATATTTTTATTTTAGTCTTTTATATAAAACTTAAATATTTAATAACTAGGTGTTAGACAAGTTCGCATGAGTTTGAGTTAGATCGCGCTCAGTTAACCGCAGAAATACTTTAAAATGAAGAGAGGATAAATAAAATATGTATATTTTTAGTTTAATTAACTATTTTTTTTAGTTCTCTTAAAAATTTATTAGGTAAAACATTTTAATAATGTAAAAAAACAATGCATTGTCCAAAAGCATTTAATGGTGTTCGCATTGCTTATTTATGACTAATGTTTCATGACTTTCTCAATTATTTATTGTCGTTAATGACTTTTATGCTTGAAATGTGAAAGGAAATTAATTTTAATTTAACAAAATGAAGGATGCAAAACGGACTTGTGATAAAAATTTGCATATTAATATATTAAATTTAAAAATACAATAACTGAAAAAAGTAAAAAAAAAATTTACAAAAGAAAGAAAAAACTAAGTAACAATAAAAATAAAAGAAATAAAAATAAAATCAATGAAATAAAAATAAAATCAATGAAATAAAAATAAAATAAATGAAATAAAAATAAAATAAAATAAAAGAAATAAATATAAAATAAAAAAATTAAATTTAAAAAAAATACAAATTAAATTTAAAAAAATACAAATTAAATAAAAATAAGTAAAAAATATAAATAAGTAAAAAATAAAAAACTAATATAAAGAAAATTCGATATGAAACAAAAAATAAATAAATAAGTAAATTAAAAAAATAATAATTAAAACAAAAAATAATAATAATAAAAATTAAAACAAAAAAAACAATAAAAAGAAAATTAACTAAAAAATTTATAAAAAAAAAAATTTTACAAATATATAATATTTAAAAAAAAATTGGACACAATTTGTTTCCTTTTAAATTTGAAAGTTTTTATACTTTAGCGTTTAACCTCAAAAAAAATGTTTAATGCTTTATTTAAAATGATTTTTATTTTCTATGTGGATGTATGCGCATGCCTACCATAATTAATCTGTTACCATATTAGATATATGAACCTTAATCGTTATATTAGTTTAGTTAAAAAGCGTGTATTCGAAATTTAGCAAATGTTGCAACAAAAAAGCGCCAAAATCTACAACAATATGTTTTTATATAATAACTTATACAATTCGAAGTACTTTTAGTGCTTAGATAATAGATATGCTTTAAGTTTGCCAAAGTGCAACATAATCCAACTCATGATATTTTACTTAAAAAAGTGCAGCTTCAATAGTGTATTTTTTTTATTAATAGTTATTATATTCTTATCATCATAGTCATTCACATGATAATGCGGCATAACTGAGTATAACACACGTGATGACTTTTATTTTGAGCACCGCAGCGAATTAAAGCCGCAACAACTTCATTCTGCTTTAAAATAACGTTTCGTGTTTGTGTCTTTTTTATAATTGAAAATTAAAAAAACCTCTATAATATAATCGGTGTGCATATGAATATATACAATTATATGTATTTCCTATAAAAAACTTGAAATAATAAGAAATTAAGTTTCAGCTTCAAATATGTATATATATAACAAAACAATATATAAACTAAACAGAATATTGTTGTTGTTGTGCTTTCATTCATTTAGTTCTACATACAATAAATGTGTATGTTAAATATATATTGCATATGTTTAGGCGCGTTACCATTTTTTATTAACAAATATTGCTTTTTAGTTGTTATTGCAGAATATTCCTTAAAGATTTGTTAAGCGTACTAGTTAAAATATACTTTCAGACAGCATAGATTTTGAAAACATTGTCTTCCAAATAAATTGTTGACATTATACACATGCATTATGTTCAAGAGTTACCGAACCATTCGTCGTTCCCGGCCTTAAAATTTAAAAAAAAATATATGAAATTGTGTTGCTCTCTTACTTATTATAAGTCGCGATTTTTAGTGAATTATAATATAGAAAAATTCGATGACTAAAAAAACCGACCCGGATTTTGCCGGAACAAATATGGTCGCCTAATTTTAGAGACTTAAGCCATCGGAATTTGCGAACGATTAGTTCGAGTTGCTCACTTGCCTTCTGAACATTGCGAATGCTTAAAGCTTTTTAGACTGTAGAACCAAATTACATAATCCTTAATATTTTTCTCTATAGACCAACTCATCGAAACAGCATGTTTCCTGATTCGATGGCAGAACAACGTTTAAAACAAAAAACCACATTAACAAAAAATATTCTTAACTGCATTAAAACCGACGATCTTGGTTAAAAACTAGCGGTAGTTAATAATTGCGCGCCTATGCCTCGTTTAAAATATATATACAGCAGTAAGTAGTTCAAAAAGCAATCTACTTTTGATAAAGCCTTTACAAACCAGAAATTTTCACAAAATTGTAGCTTGTTTAGCAGTTTTTCATATTTTTTTATATTTTCATAATAAAAGAGTGGCAGAATGAAGTCGTTCTTGCTAATTGCTTTAAATACATAAGGAAAATTATTTCATCCTTTAATTATTTTGCTGCTTATTTTTTAACTAGCATAATGGCGTATGTTTGCATATTCTTGAATTCTTGAATGCATCGTTTATATTTTAACATTCTTAGCGTGCTAATTCCTTAGTTTTTATAAAAAGTTCTTACAAGTTAGTGATTTTATATGAGTGAAGCATTATTTGCATGCATACTGTTAGCGCAATATAAGTTTTTTGTTGTTGTTGTTGTTGAAACCTTTGTTTATGTTGATGGCTAGAAATAGGGTTATTTTGTGGTTAATTCTTTAATGAAAATAATATTCTCTAAAATTTTTCATTATCAAAACAACTTTGTGATTTTATTGTAAGCAAGTTGCGTAGCGAAGAAATGCTTTACGAGTATCTAGGCAGTACTCAACTGCTGTTAAGTTAATTTGTATACAATTTTATTTAGCTGGCTATGAAAATATTCGAAGCTAACGCCACGTGCTCGCCATGGTAATACTGTTATGCAACATAACTGTTTGTGGGTTTTGTTATTATGCGCACGTCAACAATTTTTGGAGTAATTCGAAACTTTATACATATTATTATGTTCGTAATCGCATGCTAAAATTAATTTTAGGCAATTTTCTACTCGAAAAAGCCATGTCGTATCACTTGAATGTTCTACGCTTTTATCTGAATAGCAAATAACTTAAGTGACCTATTAGAGCCCTTTAAGTGAGTATGCGCTCCAATATGCAGCCTTGAACCCTATTTCAAGCAAATCTAATGGGTAGGAAATGCGTTTGTGAATACAAGCGGTAATCGCTGAATGCAGCATGCGCGCCAGTAAATGTTGTGTCATGTGAGGCACACATTTTTTTTTTAAAGAAATACATACATATGTATGCCTGTATGTAAGTAACTTACAAATATTTATTTTTTTATGCGAACTTAATGCTAGGCAGGTATGCATTGTATTCATTTTTCAGCATTTTTAGAGGATTGTATTTTTTGTAATGTTATGTTATCATGCAGCAGTGAAGTTTGCGGTATATATACTATATATATATATATATATCATATATTTGTGGTATTTTTCATAATTGTTTTATCTTTATTTCTATTTGTGGTTTGTGGTAAGTTGTTTTGCGATGACATAGACAATGCATACTGGCAGATATAAAATGAAAAACATGAATTTGTCATTTATAAAACAGTTTCTTTTTAACTACGCATATATATATATACATATATGTATATACTAAAGTAATGTTCTTTCTCGGCTACAGAGTTTTTAACCCCAATTCGATGGGCTTTCTATTATTATGTAAATTTAACAAAACATAATATAGGCCACTTTGCGTTGACTGTTTCAATGTTATTAATTAGATAAAACCAGGGTTGCAAATAATACATTAAACAATAATAATTGAATTAACAGTGGAATTAATTTTTTTTTGTAAAATTATGTATGTATTTTTAATACGAAATACCAGGTTGAATAATATAAAAGTTTTAACCTCAACTAAGGGATTTAAAAATTTATAAAAAATAACAAATTGAAAAATTAAAAAAAAAATAACAAATCGAAAAATTTTAAAAAAAATAACAAATCGAAAAATTAAAAAAAAAATCTCAAATTTAAATAAAAATTATAATAAAAAAAATAAAATTATCAAAATTAAAAACAAAAACAATATTAAAATTTTTTTTTAAATCAAAATTAAACAAAAAATCAAAATTTAAAAAAAATCAAAACTAAAAATCTAATTTTTGAATTTAAAATTCGCAACCCTGGATATAACTCATTTTTACTTATTTTGTTGCTTAGAACCGCCGTGTTCGCTTACAAATTGTTAACTACATTTTAGGTTAAAATGTCTCTAGCAATAATGTTGTATTATTAATCATTGAAGGAGTGTGTTTGCATGTGTTCTCACTTGCTTTCGTGAGAGCATATAGAAGTTAGAAAATCCAACTTAATAAAGTTTCAATAATGCGTATGCATTTTGTATATGATAACATGCACATTCTTAAAATTATTTCAATTTATGCAAATTGCTTTAGATATTGTAACATGTGTGTGTGTAGTAATGTTTAAAAGTAAATAAGTTGCTAACTTTTGTTCGCAGAGGGCGTTATTTATATTGAGGATTATTTACGATGAGGATTTTTTTGTATTTTAAATATAAATTAATTGTGTGTAGTTTTTGTTTATATGAAATTTTGTTTTGTGGCACATTTTAAAGGAAATTTTGCATGTTGCTACAAAAAAAATGTCGCGAATTCATAAAGTAATTTTGTTATCGTATGCAGCTGTCATCGTAACCATCATATATACATAAATATACTTAGGCTCAATGCGATTTGAACACAATTCAGTTGTAGAATGATAGGAAAAACAAGAGTGGCACAGTGTAACGATTTATGTGATAATTAAACAAAATGTGTATGTTTTTTTTTTAATTTTGTAGTTTCATATTTTAATTAAGTTACCGCAAAACAAATTTGTTTGCTTCACACGAAATTCAAACTAAATTTAATTTTTTTCCAAATTTAGCATTTGCTTTACTTTTTGAGAATCACCGTCAGGTGGGCACAAAGTGAAGTCAGCCGAAATTCTGTTACAAAATGCTCGTTATGTCACGTCGTTACACTGTGCGTACGCCATCTTGTTTTTTGTTTGCTTTTGTTTTCTTTTACTTTTTTGTTGTTGTTTTCGCTTATCACTAATAAAGCATTAACAATTACCGAAATAAGTCTATAAAATATTAATGTTACTATAAATTGTATTGTTATTATTATTAAATATATATATATGTTATATGCTTTCTAATAAACGGTATTTTGTATTAGAACTCTTTTTTTCTATACTATTACTTAATTTGTTTTTGCAACTAAGCTGCAGTTGAGCCATTAAATGTCGCGCTAACGATCAGCCCACGCAAGCGCACACACGCTCATGCACACGCACAAGAAGTCATTTTTTTGATATTACTTTTAACTAGCCTTATTGACAGTTAACTCCGTATTAAGTCCCTACGACTTGCATCGTTAAGCACTTGATTTATTTGCATCTGTCATGCTAAATATATATGGTTTTTAGCCTCCTCACGACGCCATCAACTGGACCACGACGTTTCTAGAAAGCCAGCCAAGGATGATGCATCAGCGATTCTTTTGAACGATCACCATAATCGTAGGTCAATTCTTCGCCAGGCTCTATGTCATCTTTTGCTACTAATATCAGATGTGGCCTTTGCTTTACCACCACCACTTTTGTGATGAGATTGCCATTACGTGAATGATTCACGAGCCTTCCCAATTTGCCGGTATCCGCAGTCGCATCAATGCAATACTGTTGATTTTGATGTCGAAAATAGTACATATAACAGCCTGCGTTCTCGTCCAATGCATAACGCTTCTCGCGCGCACTCGCCTCGGGCAACGGTATTAGATCACCAATATACTCCACAACGAATTCGCCGCGTTGAAAGTGTCGTTCGGCTACAACACCGCGTCCTTTGCCTTCAAAATGTGCCACCTTCAGTCCATCGGCGCGTTCTTCTAATATAGCCCTCTCCAAATTACGCATGATCTCTTCATTTACGGCAGTTTTAGTTTTGCGTACACTACGACGCACGGGAAAGCATTCTTTTAAGGTGTGATTGTTATTTGTTGTGCCCAGTGGTCGACCGTTTACCAATTTCGGTTTGTGTGTCTGTATTTTAACCACATGCGATTTTGGTGCCACTAGTTTTTGCGGTTGTTTCATAGTATTCATTATTGTGGTGCACTTTTGTTGTTGTTCACCTTTCTCGCAATCGTTGAGGTCATGATGTATAATCTTAGCAGGCTCGTGGAAATTCTGTGTTGAATTTTGAAACATTACAATTATATAATTTCAGATAATTATTAAATTAATTAACAAGTGCCTAAAGGTATGTTATGATGACAACGTATTTAGTAAAAAATGGAAAATTTTATTTATTTCTTTGATTATCAGGGTAACTGATGTATATAAAGAGAGCGCTGTTGTTATAAAAAGGGTTGTCTCCTTAAAACTATCGCCAATACAATTCAAAACATGAGTTGAGAAATTTTAATTTTCAATTTAAATGTGATATTAACTAGTACTTCAGTTCAGTTCAACATCGATCTGAAATTTTTGCACACTTCCTTTTCCCTCGAACTAGCGGCTGATTTATCGAAACCGCCGATATCGGACCACCGATTTTAACGTTTCTTCTTGTTTTTCCCTGTCGTTATAATATACTACAACAGTTCAGCATCCAGCACGCTCATATGCATTACGAAAATCTATCACTTTATCATATAATAAAAAGCCTCCATATTCCCCAAGAAAAGCTACATTATTTTTTACTAAATTTAAGCAACCACCAACGTTGTTGAATAATATCAGATGTCAACTGATAGCACGTATAAAAAGAAAAGCTTTTACGAGTACTCACCATAGCAACTGCACATTCCTCAGGTAACAACTTAACTGCTTCCTCGGCGTTATTTAGTGCGCTAAGCTCTTTTTGTGTATTCAGCCTTCGTCGTGTTTTAGAATTGGCAGACGCCATTTTGCGTGGGGATTTCCGCGGCGATAACTGTTCTCTGTTAAGTTTTCGTTCTGAAGGTGATAAGATTCTACCGTTTGTCACAGCCGCACGCATAGGTGAGATCATTGGTGGCATAGTTTTAATTGGTGAAGGACAGACAATACGATGTGGTGTTGCTGGTTTTCTTTTATTTTTACTGCCATCATCCGTTGTCACTGCAACGATCTTGTCATTTTGTTCTATTAGCAGCATATCTCTATTTACGGTGGTAGTGAAAGCAACACCACTATCACAAGAACTATTATCATTATCATTGTCATTGTCATTGTCTAGTTCCTGTTCAGGTAACAACTCATCTACCAAATCGTTCTCATGTAAGCCTACAATGGCCATACTTGGTGCTTTACAAGAGAATGTATCAAGTTTCTTACACGACGAAATGTTGAGTGTCACAATTTGATTGAAACGCCCATTAAGTGCAGAAGTAAGTGCGGGTGGTGATGAAAATATCGGCTCCACTTCTAATGTTGTATTTATCTTTATGGATGACGCTTGATTTGGAGTTTTGTCGACATTCAATGTTAGCACGGGTTCTTGTAGAAAAATGTTTTCCGAATTGCTGATATTTGTACATGCACTGCCAGTTGATGAGTGGCTGTCACGTAATTGTGAGCGATGTGTAAGAAAATCGCTACCGAAGACTGTCTCCTCTGTTAGCTGTGCACAAAATTCGCTATCATTTGTGTCTTCGTCAAGTTCACATGGTGTATCTGGTGTTGATGGCTGAATATTATTGTAGTGGGGTAAGTCTTCATATAAGCATTCTTCGTTTACGGCGCAGCTTATAGTTTCAGTTTTTTTATCGGAAGTATCTGCTAATTTAGCATTATTGGCAGCAGTTTTAGCTTTGAAGAAATTTTCTATTGTACGTGTTTGTGAACGAGTGGCCAAAGGCACACCTGCAAAATAAAATTACAATAATTTTAATTAAGAAATTCATGTGGTGTTGAATGGAATTATGGCGTGTCCAGAAGAAATGTTAAAAAAATTATTACTTATGTAACATGTTTCAGTAATTTATTCTCCATATAAAATCTAATTTTATGAGTTCATGGGAATCGATTTAAAGAGAAGGTAGGTGCAAGTTTATCAACTAGACACATCATTATCGCGTATGGTGCCATAAGCTATGACATTTTGGCCACCGAGCAACGATTACAATGCAAACTACTGAACATTTGTAGTAAAAAGCGCGCTAAAATATGGCGCTGCATGCAGCCGCCGTAAAATCTACTTACCAATTGTACGGCTTGCGATACCTCCTCTTTCACCTCGTACTTTGCCAGTTGCTGATGACGACGATTTAGTTTTTCCGTGTGTTTTCATTTCTTTTTCGGTTTGATGTTCTATACCAGCAAGCTTTCCCGTCAAGCAGTTATCAATTTTACAGTCTTTACGTTTAGGGCTGGCAAAGTATTGTTCATCCAAATGTGTACAGCCAACCGTAGATTTGAGTTCACCATTTTCTAACAAATGATTATTATTGGCGCTACGCGCACCTCCGCCTGTTAGCGCTGCAGCTTTGGTAGCGCGACGACGCACCATTTTTCCAACAGCAATTTATTAAGTCAAATATTGTGAAAAGATGTCCCTGAGCACCAACACGATCTTCGCACGATTTTTCGATTGTATTAAATAACTATTAAAAGAAAAAAGAAAAAATTAATGCATTTGTATCGTTTGAAAAGAAGTTTCGCTGGCACAAAGCATACGATACAAAAAATAAAAAACAAAAAAAATTGTCAGCTAATGTCGCCCCGCCAATACAATGCAATGTAGGTGCTACAAACTCGCTATCGTTTTCACACTACGATGAGCCGCAGCTGCTGCCATCAAAGCCTTCGAGCTATTCTTCCTCTTCTTACTGACGATCTGATCGACGTTTGTTTTGCAATTTTCCGCAGGCTTCTATAACCACTTTGTCCAGTGGAGCATCAATCGTATTGCAACAACAAACCATCAATTAGTTAATAACTTTACTTCTAAATAGTTTTTAAATCAGTTTTTATTATTATGATTACATTTTCTAACGCTGAACACCGATGTTCTGTTAATAATTACTCCGACCTTTTTCGATTATTCGCTACCTCTGCTTCCGATTATTGTGCTTTGTTGTTATTTAGCAATATAATGCCACATGACAGAGATAAGTGCTATACCCAACCACGGTCACAACACGTTAGCCAGAGTGAGCCAATAGATAATTACCACAAGGTGTGCCGTAAATGTAGAAATTGACATTTTAAAGTTTGTACCTTAACCAACATGTTCTAATTTGTTTCTAAGTAAAATTTGTTTGTTATTATGTCAAGTTAAGTAACAGCTGATATATAAATTATATTTTGATACAATATATTACAAGATTTAATGTACTTTAATAATCGATGATTCACTTTGAAAGACTTTGGATTCTCGTGGTCCTGTAAAAAATTGACGAGAGGAGATAAATATCTCAGATGGTCGATCGATGCAGCCATTTCGGGAAATTTTCTTTACCGTCTGTAAAAAACAGGATTTCGAGAAAAACGCTAAGCTAAAAAATTCGGAGAATATTTTCAAATATATATACCCTCGACACAAAGCATATATTGATTTTTTGAGTCCATTACATTGGATGACCCCTTTGAGTAATGTGATTTGCAGAAGCAACCCTGCATAGTGTTACTTAGGGAAGAGGAATACCATTCACAATGAACATTGGCACAATCGGAAATGAAATAAACGAACGTTGAACGTCTAATCATCTGTTACCGGCCGAAGGCATTATTTTTTTGTATGTATGTGTATTGGTAGTGGTGCAACTGGTGCTGGAGCCACTTGAAACTTGAAATAGTTACGAAAATTTAAACACATACTTACAAACCACATACAATGTGTTTTGTGATATGTTTATGCATCTCAACAACAATAATAAACTAAATAATTTATTTAGTTAAACTGATTTATGTTTTTTGTAATCAATTATAAAACACCATAAGCCGCTGTAATTCATAGTAAATAATGTTGGCTGCTGCTAGAAATTTAAGTACATACATACATATGTATGTACATATAAGTATATACGCGCATGCATGTTTGTATGGCTGTGTGCGTTTGTATACAGTAAAAATTAGTCATGAGTATAAGGTGCTCTTGGCCAAAAGTTGTTTACGGTTTTTTATGCTTTGGCTTACGTTCTCAACCACCTTGGCGGATGTTAAACAACAAATAAGCTGCTCTCTCTAGCGCATGTCAGAGAGTGTATGAGCGCGCACGCACTGGAGAGCAGTTGGAAAAATCATATTATTTGGTCTTTACAAAGCGTGTGTTGGAGCAATAGTCAGTCTGTTTGAGTTGGATACCAGTAGTCATCGGATAGACTCGACGTGGAACGGTCGTTTGGTGTTTGTTAGTTAATAAGGGGGGAACGTGGTGTTCACGACAGAAGTCACTATTTGTTCCTTCACTTTTGAATAAGTGTACAATTTTCCTTGCGTTCGCATCAATATAAATATTAAATAAATAATTATATAAATATATATGTGTGTATTTATGCAAATGCATTAATGTCCTGCTAAATCACTATATATAAAGCAACAGTCCGCAAACGTTCATATTGTCTAGTATATATGAATGTTTGTATATACATGTAACAGCTGTAGTGTATGTGCGTGTGAATAATTTACGTTAGTACTCACAGAAAAATATTATAAGCGAATAAGCGAAGAAAATCAAAGATATTTTTACGGTGGAGTTTTTCGGGTTCGGCCAATAAAACAGCAAAAATTCGTACAAACACGAAACGGAAAACGGAAAAAATAACGCAATAGATTCAATTCTTGCAATTGAGTTGGAATCTGTAAAATCGAAAGAAGTCAAATTGATATAAGAAGAAGCACTAGAAGAAGGAAAAAGTGCGAAATTTGTGTGAACGCGCGTGTGTTTGTGTATATGTATACAAATTGTGTGTGTTTGTGTTTGTATAAGTGTATGCGAAAAGTGAATAGCAGAAGAATTGTGAAAAACAGGTTTCTTAGTTGTGGCAGCGGTCGCTTATATAGAAGTAGCAGTAGCAACAGCAACAGTAACAACAAAGGCAACGGCAATAGCAAGAGCAGAAGCAGCAGCACCGCATATGCAACATTAACCAAATCAACGAATTGAGCATACGAAAAGCAGAACCAATAACAACAATACCAAACAAACTTAAAAATACAAAAAAACAGTATAATACGCCGCAGCAGCAGAGAAAAAAAAAGAATTGTGGTGAGTCAAAGTTTAAAACACAACCGCAACATAACGAATAACTGCATAGTGAAATTTACGTTGAGGGAACAAAAGGTTGCCAAACTTATTACAAATTGAAAGGGAACTTCCCTTATAACATAGTTGCTTCCTTTATTTGCTTCAGCCGAGGAATTTACCGTTTTTGTTTGAAGTGATGGTATTTTAGGCATTTCCATATGTTAAGAATTTAAGATATTAATATTGGTCTTCAGAGAAATACTTCAAAATCAACAGTCATTTAACGTAAATATAGAGGCTTAAATTAGCGGAAACAAATCGGAGAACATTTACAATTGATTTTGAAATACGAGGGTATGAAGTGGTTATCCTAGCACAAAAAAAACAGTTAATTTTGAATCTAACAAATGAAAAAATATACATATATATTAAATTTATGGAATAAATAGACGAAATGAGAAGAACAATAAACAAATTGAGCCAAATTACATTTTTAAGCTTTGAACTTTTTTACGAAAAGCTTTTCTTTCGAAGCATTGTCTTCCAGATTCCAATAACCGGTGTCTTACGTTTCTTTTAATGTATAACCGCGATTTAACGATCTTCAGAACTAAGTTCTATCATAAACTTCGGTTATACTCGACACTTTTGAAATTCACTTAATTTTTATTTTATTCTTCTGTAGATGACCCTATTTATTTACTATCTAGTTATACCGTATGACATAAATACTTATCCAATTTCATTGCGTCGCTGAATCCGCAGCTGTTGGTTTCTTCTCTGCCCTTATGCCTGCGTAAGATACCCACACACCTGCTAGAGAAGATAAGGTTTTGCCATGGTACAGACCATTCATTAAAAAGAATTTCTTATTCTTAAACGTATTATATATATAACTTCGTGTTAATCATAGCTTTCATGATACGCTAACAGCCCTTTAATAAATTCATTCTCTCAAGTAATAGACTCACGACGCTAAATCTTAGAATATATTTCAAAGATTACGACATGCTTCGTTATTAAGGGTTAAGTGAAGTCACTTTACTAAGCAGATAAGCTTGAAACTAAATTGAATGTTCGGCGCATTATTGCTGGCATACGGCCCCAGTTGCTGCAACTAGTGGTCGAAAATTGAGCCTCTCGGCTGGAATTTATTCGAGTCAACCGTGGCGGTCACTTTACCCGAAATAGTTTTTAAAACATAATGACAAGTTATAATAAAGTTGAATTTATGGCCATAACACAAAAATATATGAGTATTATTTCTTCTTGAAAACTGCACGTCTAAAAATACACTTTCACATGCTCTCTTTCAACTATCTGCAGACTCTACTAAACAACCATTTTTAATTAAGAATCTCTTAAAAAATCAAACTATAAATAGGAATCCACATCTGGTAGAATATTATGTGCGCAACTAAGTTCAACTAAGTTTGTCAATAGATGACTCCAGCAGTTAGTGGTGATCCATTTTGATATACAATATCCAAAACGGGATATATTTTACTTAGACTTTTGAAAAACAAACTGCGTTTTCACATTAGTGACTTTGTATATGTGCCATATACTTTTCGTTGTGCGAATATGTTCGATGTTTTGTCAAATAATCTTCATTTGCAGTGTTGATTTTCTTCTTTCGGTCAAAGAAAAAAAAGCTGCTGAAGCACATCGGGAACTTCAAAAAGTTTACGGAGGTGCTGCCACAAGTGAAAAAATGTGCCGTCATTGATTTAGTCGGTTCAAAGACGTCGACTTCGATATTAACGACCCTCCGCGGAAGGTAGGTCAAAAACCTTCGAAGACGGTGAATTGGAGACGTTGCTTGATGAGGATCCGTGTCAAATGCAAGAAGAGCTTGTTTCAGTATTGGGAGTCATCCGCCAAGCCATTTCAACGCCGCTATATATGCCGTGAATAAATAAGTGTTTCTGCTGAGTGAGAACGCTCGGCCTCACGTTGCCAAACCGTTAAAGCCTACCTGGAAACGCTTAAGAGCCATATTCCCCAGATAGTGTATTCCGCTCGATGGCACATGGTTTGGCTCAGAAGCAGTTCCACTCTAAAACGACATCGAAAAATTACTTGATTCTTGTATAGCATCACAAGATGAACAGTTTTTTCGTAATGGTGTTCGAGCTTTGCCAGAAAGACGGAAAAAAGTTGTGACTAGCGATGGACTATATTTTGAATAATTCATTTGCAACCATTTTCTTACAATAAAAAAGCATATTCATTTAAAAAAACAGCGAGAACTTAATTGCGCACCTAATAAATATATTCAAATATAGAAACAAATTGTAGATATTTGTTAGTTCTCGATTTAATGACGATTGTATTTTGGTGGTCAAATGGTTTGGCGATAAGTTATATACACGGATCAATATATTGTAAATGTGATCGAAGTAGTCCGACTGGTCCAAAAATTGTGAAAATAATTGAAATTGGCTGCTTATAAGAACACTATACAACTGGTTGCTCAGCTAAGAATTACGCAGGAGATATGAATACCATCAAGAACTGACTCTTTAAGAATTGATTGTTAAAATATTAATCTCTACATTGCTGCTTCTACAAACAACTAGTTAGAGCTCTGTTTGTATAGTGATCGTGATTAAAAAGCTGATAGTAAAGCATTAATATTGGTACACCTAATATACCCTGAACATTAAGTACCCCGGAATCAAGTACTTGTATGGGAAACTTTTTTATTTGACTAGGTATCTTCACAAAATTTAGCACCAGTTATTTTCTAAGCAACCGTGTATTCTCCGCAGAAATTGTTCAGATTAAATCATTATATCATATAGTTGCCATACAAATTGAACGATGGGAATCAAGTTCTGTGAAGGTTATATAGCTTCGGTGCAACTGAAGTTAACGTTTTTTCTTGTTCTAGCCAAGTTTAGATGCCATAGCACCAATTTAATCTAAGGGAGATTTTTTCTGTTTCTTATTTGATGTCAGTTCGGATGCTCTTGAGATGGTACTCGATTTTTATTTCAAAGATGACCGTCAAACTCATCTGCTGTTCTGGGGGACAACTGCTTTGATTAAAATAAGTAAACCTGCGGATAATGAGACTAAAAAGCAAGGCTTCACAGCATCAAAACAAAATACCTATGTTACAAGTACATGTATACATTTGTATGTAAATATATGTATATGTTTGCAGTTTGGCAATGAAAAAGATGCACATCATATTTCTATTTTAATAATAGCTTAGTTACTTACTTGCCTCAGAGTGCGTATCATATTTGACCAACAAACATGCGACAGTGACTGCTAAAATTACACTTAACACACGGCTAATTACATACTTACCTCACTTTGCGCATTTGTTTGCGGCGTTAAAGCGCATATGTTTAGACGCGTGTGTGTGTGTGTGAATACGCTTGTTTGTGTATGTGTGTGTGTGCTGGTTATGCGTGTGCCTAATATAAATAGCAAAATTATGGGTTTCTATGTGGCTTTACGCGACAAGCTGCCTTATTTGTTTGCTGGAAAACAAAAACAACAGTAAACAAAATATAAAAAATGGCTTTACAAAATAAATTGCTAAAGTGTTAGTGGTTCACCTTCAAAGCCGCGGCCAAAGCTGATGCTGTTGCTGTTTATTGCTGTTGTTGTTGCTGCTGTTGTTGCTATTTGTGCTTTCTGTATGTTTTTTGGTTAATAAGTAGACACAAAAGCAAATATGCAAAAGCGTAGGCCAAGCAGCTTAAGAAGCGGCGCTGTAAAGGTGGAATTAATAGAGGAGCGCCAACCATAAAGATTTACAAATACAAAGCTCACTATAAATATATGTGTATGTATGTATGTATGCATGTGGAACGCATTTCGCTGAACATGGAAAATCAACAGCGCCAAGTTAATGTCAGAAACAAGAAAAAACGTTAACTTCGGTTGCACCGAAGTTAGAATACCCTTCACAACTACAAAAGTTTCCATACAAGAACTTGATTTTGATTGTTCAGTTTATATGGCAGCTATATGCTATAGTGCTCTGATCTAACCAATTTGTTTGGATATTGTACTAACGACTTGGACAATAATTCATGTCAAATTTCGGAAAGATATTTCGTTAAATGAAACAGTTTTCCAAGCAAGTACTTAATTCCGTTCGTTCAATTTATATGACAGCTATATGCTAAAGTGGTTCGATGTCGGCGTGTCCGACAAGTAAGCAGCTTCTTGAGGAGAAAAAGACGTGTGCAAAATTTCAGAACGATATCCCAAAAACTGAGAGGCTAGTTCGCTTATATGCAGACAGACTTCTCAACTCAGCTCGTCACGCTGATCATTTATATATGTATGTATATATTTTATAGGGTCTTCAATGTTTCCTGTTGGGTGTTATAAACTTCGTGGCAAACTTAATATACCCTGTTCGGGGTATAAAAATATGCGTATATATGTGTATGTCTTTGAACGCATAGTGGCAGCAAAAGTGCTAGCGCAGCACCGCAGCGCGTAGTTAGCAAACAAAGGGGAAATGAGAATGAGAAAAGAATCTGTTATTAAATGAAATTGATGCTGGTAATTACCGTTTCTGCTTGGTTGACGAACTGACGGACGGTTCTGTCTATTTAAGTAAATGCACGAACATTCACTGCCATACACACACATGCATAGGAATATAACGCTGAACTTATTGGCAATAAGCAGAGGATTTGTGGACCGTTTCATTTTCCCACTTTTCAAACTGTAATTGGGTAACCAACTTACACGTGCCCATTTACTGACATTCGAAGCGCAAGCAACAACCAGTAGGACGGTCTACGTCGATATGTCTTCTAACTTGCCGACACACTACGCATGCAAGGTCGTGAGTGAAGAGTTGGGCGTTACTCTAACTTTATTAGAAATAATGTGTGTATATAAATACCGGTAAGCAGGCCCGGCGGCTTATGTGGTGTATTTACATATATTTTTTAAAATAATATTGGATAAGGCCAAATCACTTATTTGTTTATAAATTTTTAAGCTTCGAGCTTTTTTACGAAGAGCTCTTCTTTCGCAGC